AACTCAACTTACAGCAATGCATTTCTTTTGCACTTGCAACACTAGATCATAAAGTTGTCTCTGTGCTTCAGTAAATGTCCCATTCACAGGCCATGTCCTTGTAATGTCGCTGGCATAACCATGGTACTCACATCCAGCATCCATTAGGACAAGATCACCGGCTCTAATAAATGTRCAAGGATAGGTTACAGCTAATAAAACAAGACCAAAAATGTGTAGCTCTGAAATTCAACTGCTTCTGACAGGGGTGCCCATTTATGGGCTGTCTCCTACTCAGCTTCTATCAGTCTTGTTACGCAATGCTCTCTAATCAGTGGCYGCTACTGAGTGGAATGACAAGTGCCGACACTAATAGTGCCTGCATAGGAGACTAAGTAAGGGTATGTTGCAATAAATGCGATCAAGGTTTTTGTTTTACTTGATSCATGATCATGACAAACTAAAGATTGTGAGCTCATGATTAGCATTAGATTAGTGTTCGTCTTGCCTTGTGAAGAATGACAGTAATTCAACAATATATACATGATTAAACCATAAAATGTCCGTGAAAGAGACTTGCACATGTTTGCAATAGTATTTTTAAGCTAAAAATCAAATTTTCAATGTTATTGCATTATCATTAATCTGTTATTGCTTCTGAMATCTTTGTTCTGTTATAATTGCATTATCATGATAAGGTCATTATAGCTTTGMGTAACTTTTTAAAAGTTGTGAACTGTGCGTCAGACCACACCCTACCACCCCTGTTCTGAGGTTGACTCATTAGTTTGGGGTATTGATTGGAGAGAAGTAAGAAGAGAGAATACTTATTGTTACCATTCATTACCTTAATAACTGACTATTATTGACATAATGCAGGGTGTTTGCCAATGACCCCCCAGCWACTACAGGAGGGTATGACAACCTCTCGGCACCATTCATTCTACATTCATACTCCAAGGTTGTATGTAGGTGTGACTCCTCCAGACCTGGGCRTGTCTTGGTTATTACCTAGCAACACAAAATGGATATAGTTATTMATAAATGACATCAAATTAAATTCTCAATTCTTTAATAATATCCATTTTCTTTTTTTCTTTTTTCCCTTCTCTGTTTTTTTTCCCCTTGTTTTGATTTTACCTTGAGCGTAATGTTTCCCCATTTCAGACCATGAGTCATTCCCTACCAGCTGAGTTTAACATGTTCACCAAAAGGAATTACAGATCAACTTTTTTTTTAGCATTTTCTGA